TTCACAACACTGCCCCTGACTACCTCACCAACCTGATCACCAAGTACCACCCTACCCGTACCCTTCGCTCCTCACAGGACCTCCTTCTATCCTGCTCCCTGGTCTCCTCCTCCCATGCACGACTGCAGGACTTCTCCAGGTCCTCCCCCATCCTCTGGAACTCACTGCCCCAATTCATCAGACTGTCGCCTTCCCTATTCACATTCAGGCGTTCCCTCAAAACCCATCTCTTCAGGGAAGCCTACCCCACCCTCACCTAACGGCCATCCTCCCTCATTCCTCCCACCACTTCATCCCCCTCAGCCACTTCCTACTGTACCTTTACCCCCTCCCTCCTAGATTGTAAGCTCGAAAGAGTAGGGCCCTCTTACCCCCTCGTACGTTGTTTGTTGTTGTTGTACTGTGCCATGTATTGTCCCCCCTATTGTACAGCGCTGAGCAAACCCTTTGGCGCTATATAAACTCATAGTAATAATAATAATAATAATAATAATATATATAACAGGCCAAAAGGCTGCATTAAAAAAAAAAAAGAAAAAAAGGAGTTCATTGTTAGGGTTTACATAAGTAAATTAGGTTTCTATTCATTCCATCCCACTTAAAATGAAACCATGTCGGGGTACAAAAAAAATAAAATCCCTTTATACGTGCAGCTGTATATATTAGTGGCTTTTACATCCACAGCAAAATAAAATTCCACTGCAGATTTCTGTTGCTTGCTTTGCTTCACCATGTGAAAAATGAGCATCTATCAAGATCTGTATACTTACATCCAGCAGACAGCTAAAAGCAGCTAAAAAGGTAAAAGTAAACAGTCAGCATCTAATGCACATAGGGGGCCCAAAAATAAAGCAGGCTAGATGCTCAGCCAGACCATGAAAAGACAGACTCCTGCTTTACTGGTGACTTCAAATAAAATCCAGATATCCGACAGCAAGACAGGAGGAAAACCATGAAGTTTCCATACTGTCATACAACGCACAAATTACAATCTCTGCAAATGGCATTTTCAGAATACGGAAAAAAAAATGGCCTTTTATATAATAGATCATGAATTTAAAGCTTTACTCACACTTTCTAACAAATCTGTATTTAAGAAAGGTCAGCCAGTGAAAAATACAACATAAATAGAGTACACATTTTAATTATTTTCTTCTGCTGCAATTTTACAGGGACTTTGGAAAATTCCCATAGACATAAATTTCCACTCTGAGAAAAAGAGATCAGAAATAGCACGTACAACATTGATAATACCGCTGCTGTTCCATAGAATAAATAGAAAAAAAAAAAACAGGCAAAAACGGGAGAGATTTTAAAAGCAATGACTTTTCAGTGGAGGACGGAGTTAAAATAATCACTTGCGATGACTCCAGTGAAAATTTCACCATCTTAGTTCCCAGTTCTGTTCACATATACCTAGAAGGGTCACTCTTACTGCTACTTTTCCCATTACATAAAGTAAATCGTAAACCCAACAGAAATAGAAGACTGGGAACCCTTAATAACTGCTATGGCAGGTGTTCAAACTCAGGAGCTGTGCCAAGGATAATATAAAAGTGCATACCTTCCACTATCCTTCCCCAGTTTCTCAATCATGGCTTTGCGAGCTTGTGAGGCTGGTGTTTTAGGAAGGTTTTGGGCTTTCATGAGCTCCTTCTTCCTTTCCGCCTGTCTCCTCTCCAAGGCTGCCACGCCATCATCCTCTCGATCAAATACACTGCAGACAATAAAAAAAGTAAAACAGAATTATGCCAACATACCCTGGAATTTATAGTAGTGGAAGGTTATTGAAACCAATTTTTGGTGCTAAAACAGATTTATGGAGTATATAACTGTTCTTCTCAATACTAATGGACACGTGACCAAAGGCTTTGGTATTACAGAATGTGACCTTTGATTGAGGGGAAAAAAAAAAAAAAAAAATCTAACATTTGGCCAATCCTTCCCCCTTTGGAAGAGATCAGTCCCAGTCTTCTTGTTTTTCTCCCATTCCCATTGACAGCAAGTGGGATAGTGCTCTGATAGAGATGTTCTGATGGTAGGATTCGCCTGTCAGTGCAGGGACCACGTGATCACGGCGTCCGGGGATGACGTCAACACGGTGTGCGAGAGATGGAGTGGAGGAACCAGTGTAGGACCACAAGCTGAAGTGAAGGCCAATCACCAGGACAACATGTTTCGAACACATGCGCCTTTTGAAGTCCAGGATAGACAAGGTTATCTTCCATTTTATAGAGGGCAGGCCCGGCACAAAGGCCGGCTCAAGAGAGTACAGGGGGAGGAGACACAGACAGAGCGGACGGCTCGTCTCACCGATACCATTAATAGCAATGATAACAACAGAGCAATTTATACATAGAAAAATAAATGAATGCCAGAATAAAAGGTGAAAAAGTGACAATATAAAATTATTCTACATAAATGTATATGCAGAGAGAGCGACTTCCTTAATATAAATAAAAGGTATATGCTATCCTGTAATGGAATTATATATATATCATGAGGGATACTGCATAAAAAAATTTTAATGTAGTTTTTCATGTAAAAAAGACTGTATGTAGAAGAGACTAAGTGTATAAATAATTAATTGCAAATCGGTTAATAAATTGATTGGTTAACTGATGAAGCGTCGAATATCATAAACTGTGCCCCTAGGGTCAGAAATGTGAGACCTACCATACTTTGATAATAGAACAGGCATCTTCAAATGTAAGAAAAAACGCTGCCTTACATGTCAGTTGATTACGCATGGTAGGTCTCACATCTCTTACCCTAGGGGTACAGTTTATATATTTGACACTTCACTTGTGCCACAGACCATGTTATCTATGTTTTGACTTTTCCTTGCAAATTCTTATATGTGGGCCGCACCATATGTCCTCTACGCAATCGCGTGGGGGAACACAGGAGACTCATTAAAGAGGGATGTGATAAACACCGCATCCCCAGGCATATTTTACATTATCACAATAAGAATTTCAGTTTTCTAGAGGTAATGGCCACTGAACACATAGTGAAAGGGACTCTCATGGATAATGAGAGGTTGGCTCTCCTGTGCAAAAGGGAGACTTTGTGGATCTTCAAGTTTGGATCCATGGCAGAAAAAGGTCTTAATGAAGATTTGGAAGTCCACAGTATCATTTAGTACTGTATTTTTCTGCACATATACTAGTAGTGGACTACTGGTGCAGACATTACTTATTTTTCTTCACTTTTTATCTGTTTGCTCCTTTTTTAAAAAAAGTTTTTTTTTTTTTCCGTTTTACACTATCTCTGTTTATAGACCTACTGTATTTACTATTATTACCATTACGATTTCATTGTAATTCATATTTCCATTACCACTATTAGGTCAAGCTATTAAGCATGTTTTAAACAATTAGAATTTTAAATATATATTACTGCATTTATCATTGTATTTTAATCTGATGTCATGAGAGTAATGTTGCTATTAACTCAACATTTTTTATTATTTTTTTTTAATTTTTTTATTATTTTTTTTCTTATTGATTAACCAGTCAATTTATTAACAGATTTGCAATGAAATATTTATACACTTAGTCTCTTCTACATACAGTCTTTTTTTACATGAAAAAAACTACATAACATTTTTTTTAGGCGGTATCCCTCATAATATGTATATAATTTTATATAATGTTATGTAGAACATTCCAAACAGGATAGCATATACCTTTTATTTATATTAAGGAAGTCGCTCTCTCTGCATATAAGTTTATGTAGAATAATTTTATATTGTCACTTTTTTCACCCTTTATTCTGGCATTCATTAATTTCTATGTATAAATTGCTCCGTGGTTATCATCGCCATTAATGGTATAGGTGGGACGAGCCGTCCGCTTTGTCCGCGTCTCCTCCCTCTGTACTCTCTTGAGCCGGCCTTTGTGCCGGGCCTGCCCCCTATAAAATGGGCGATAACCTTGTCTATCCTGGACTTGAAAAGGCCCATGTGCACAAAACATGTTGTCCTGGTTACCGGCTTTCACTTGCTTGCGGTCTTACGCTGGTTCTTCCCCTCCGTCTCTCGCACACCGCGGTGACCTCATCCCAGGACGCCGCGATCACGTGGTCCCTGCACTGACAGGCAAATCCTACCATCAGACCATCTCTATCAGAGCAGAAGGGCCGTCCATCAGGACCCAGGCTATCTTACCAAGCCACTGGCTTGTTTCTCACTATCCACCATTTGACTTATCCTAATAAAGGTACGCCTCCTAGGACCTAGGATGTATTTTTATCATAACATTTCCCACAGAGCTGTTTTTCTCTGGAACCACTGGACTAGCATCCCTATTTTTTTTTTTCTATGTGAACTGGAGAGAGTATAAACACACTCATTCGTGCGCTTCTGGCTTCTGGATTTTTCTAGAGCAGTTTCATGCTTTACAATTTTTTGTTGTATTTTTTTTTTCAGCTACCATAAAATTCAATACACTACAAGTCAAGAAGAGCAGAAAGTTATCTCTAGTAGCAAGCTATACATAGTGAAAACAGCTTTCATCGGAAGGGCAAATATAACTATTTTGAGTTGATTTATTTTAGTTCAAACTTTGTTCTGCAAATAATAATTTAATAAGTGTTTCCAGAGCACTGTGGATCAGGTAAATGGACAGCACAGCAGATGAAACTAAGCTATAAGTTTTAGCTTGTATGACTTGATCCTCCTACTGAGTCCTCTAATAAGGGAAAGAGTCAGTGCTGTGAGGGCGCCTTGACTTCTATAAACAAACAAAGGGCTTCTCTTTCAGTACAGCAGAGGGTGATACAAGGCTTTACATGTGAAGAGAATACAAATTCTGGCTGGATAAAGTCTACATAAATATTAAAGAGCAATCTTTCATAGTTACTCATGGTCAAGGAAAAAGGAAAATTAAAATAAATGAAATACACTATATTGCCAAAAGTATTGGGACACCCCTCCAGATCATTGGATTCAGGTGTTCCAATCACCTCTATGGCCACAGGTGTATAAAATCAATCACCTAGGCATGCAGACTGCTTCTACAAACATTTGTGAAACAATCGGTCGCTCTCAGGAGCTCAGTGAATTCAAGCGTGGTACCGTGATAGGTTGTCACCTGTGCAATAAGTTTATCCATGAAATTTCCTTGCTACTAAATATTCCACAGTCAACTGTTAGTGGTATGATAACAAAGTGAAAGTGACTGGAAACAGCAACTCAGCCATGAAGTGGTAGGCCATGTAAAATGAGAGCGGGGTCAGCACATGCTGAAGTGCACAGTGTCAGAGGTCACCAACTGTCTGCAGAGTCATTAGCTAAAGACTTCTAAACTTCATGTGGCCTTCATATTAGCACAACAACAATACGTAGAGAGCTACATGGAATGGGTTTCAATAGCCAAGTAGCTACATCCAAGCCTTACATCACCAAGTGCAATGAAAGCGTTGGATGCAGTGGTGTAAAGCATGGACTCTAGAGCAGTGGAGACGTGTTCTCTGGAGTGACGAATCACGCTTCTCTGACAATCCGATGGACGTGTCTGTGTTTGGCGGTTGCCAGGAGAGCAGTACTTGCCTGACTGCATTGTGCCAAGTGTAAAGTTTTTGGTGGAGGGGGGGGGGGGGGGGGGTTATGGTGTGGGGTTGTTTTTCAGGGGTTGGGCTTGACCCCTTAGTTCCAGTGACGGGAACTCTTAAGGCGTCAGCATACCAAGACATTTTGATCACTTTCATGCACTTTGTGGGAACAGTTTGGGGATGCCCCCTTCCTGTTCCAAAATGACTGCGCACCAGTGCACAAAGCAAGGCCCATAAAGAAATGGATGAGCGAGTTTGGCATGGAGGAACTTGACTGGCCTGCAGAGTCCTGACCTCAACCGATAGAACACCTTTGGGATGAATTAGAGCGGAGACTGCGAGCCAGGCCTTCTCGTCCGACATCAGTGCCTGACCTCACAAATGCGTTTCTGGAAGAATGGTCAAATATTCCCATAGACACACTCCTAAACCTTGTGGACAGCTTTCCCAGAAGAGTTGAGGCTGTTATATCTGCAAAGGGTGGGACAACTCAATATTGAACTCTACAGACTAAGACTGGGATGCCATTAAAGTTCATGTGTGTGTAAAGGCAGGCGTCCCAATACTTTTGGTAATATAGTGTATATGTGCAAATCCAGCATACATTCCTTTTATACATCTTGTATTTACCTGCCCACTTTCTTAGACGTTGAGCTATATGAAGCAGATTTTGTCTGAACAACTGTACCACCATCTGTAAAAAAAACAACAGAGATCCATATCTTAGCATATGAGCAGTTAAACGCAAATCACTTCCTCTCTAATATCTAAACAAGAAAGAGCTCTGGTCTCTGTGAAAACATGTTAAGATATAGAAGGTACCTCCCTCAAATAAAAAAAAACAAAAAAAACTGATAAATTAAAAAGCACGATGAGGAGAAAAGTAAGGACATAAACAGCTTATTTCAACACCTGGGCTCAAAGATATGAGGTTTGGTATGTTTAAGCCTATCCTGGGAAATGAAAACCAATCTCTGGAAGCACTTGGTATTGCTCACAGATTTCTCAATGTGTGTTTGCAACCAGGCTGGATTCTTTCTTCTTGCTGAAAAATACTGAACAGTGCATGGGTCACAGTCTGGGGTAAGAAGCAACAGCCCCACACTACAGAGGACAGGTAGAGGTCTTCTCACTTGCTGTTCTCAGGGAAACATCTCTCCATTTATTGCTAGCTTAACCCACAACAAATAATCAGTGTTCACATTTTCCCAGGCTAGAACTATAAAGTGACCATTATTATTGCTGTTTTTGTTTTTTTTTTAACTTTTTACATATTATATATATTGCATGGGAATTTTCCTTTAACCTATTTAACGTTGTGAAAACCACTTTGCAAGTAATAATGTATCAAGTGCAAGGAAAATAAAAAAAAAAATGGATTGGATGATGAAAGTCAGTTTCACCCCATTTCCTAAGTTGCAGAAAATTCCCTCACAAAGTGAATAGTCTATTTGACTTTAGTAAATTAACCCCAAAGTGGTCAAGATTACTATAATCGCTGGTTAAATAACACTGTGCCATGGCCAGGAATATAAATACTCACTTTCTGATCTTTTCATATAACTAGCCTCCATTGTAGTTGTTCTTGATGATCTACTGCCATCGTCTGCAAATCAAATCAATTGATTAATGTTTCAATTATCCCCTGGGGACAGCATAATGCTAGACACTCAACTGAAGTAATAAAAACACACACAAATTCATGTGAATTGAAAGTGTGCTTATAGAATTAACTTTTAGTACTTTCCCAAACCATAAACTTACTGGACTGCACCAGTGTCTGTGTTTTGGTGACGGTGCTGACAGCATTGCCATGATTTATAGTCTCACTTTGCCGTAGACTGGTCTCTGTGCTTCTTGCTAGCCGAGCTTCCTTTTCCTTGTTCTTCAACTCTTGTAAGCGTTGTTCTCTCTCTTTCTCACGTTGTTCTGGAAATGGAGAGAAACAAAAAATTGAATCAAGCCTTTTCAAAAGAATGTAAATCAGCTTTCTAATATTCTGGAAATGACTAAAGAGCATCAAGTGCATATGGCTCCAAGCAGTACAAAGAAAAACACGAAGAACCTGCAAAGGAAGGATACATGTAATAATATACCTCTCTTCCTCTGTCGTAACTCCCTCATGGCTGTTCTGATCAACCTTCTTTCTTCAAAGTCTGTGGTTTTATCCAGCTGTAGAAAGACGCATTTTTCAGAAAATGTCAAAAGGGGCAACATCTATACATGTGCTTGAATCAGTTCTGTATTTAATACTCAAATGATTGATTTATGCAACATGAAATGGTCCTTCAATTTATGTTTCCTATAGGCAATAGAAGAGGAAATAATCAGTGTTAAGGTATCCATGGACTCCAAATTTTCATAGGTAGTCAGTGAGAGTGGGAACACAATGCTGGCATTTATAAAAGGAGAAAAATATGGAATATGGAGAATTTCCGGTTTCTTTCAGAAAGGCTGGTGTTGGGGGTTCTGAGGTATGTATTAATATGCACGTAGCATGTTTATAAAGACGTATGTCTATGTCCACCTCTTGAGGAGGTAAAAAAAAAAAAAAAAAAAAAAAGGTTTGGCAGTTACATCATGAGATGCCATTAACAGGAGATCTGGTTGCTTATTAAATTCTTTGGTAATGCCTTCTTCCAACGTACACATTTACAATTCAGTGCATAGCCCATTACTTGGAACAAGCAGTGTAGAAAGATGCTGACTTATCTCTGCAAAGACAGAAAAGAACCAGTTTCTTGGCCAGAATTCTGCAAGGCACAATACATCATAAAAGAGATCCAGAGGTTCCCTGCCCATACATGGTGAGACCATCACATTACTGTTTGAAAACAGTTTTTGTAATGTGACAACCTCTCTCCATTTATGGTGTGCCTTTGTCTTCCGTTATCTTAAAATGTCTCCATTTATCTCTGGAGTGAAGATGAAAAAATATGACAAAAATAGGATGCTGTCAGTTGTTTTTATATTGGTTTACATAAGCAATATGTTCTGCTTCAGAAATCAACCCAACATAAAGATGGACGTAGGGTACACGGGCCCCATTTCCAACTAACCAGATGGTGTTTTATTGTCACAATCAGGCAAAAACAAATTCAACTGTACATTTATAGTAGCAGCCAGTTTGCAATGATCTCACCATTTTATCAAGGACATCCTCATCTTCTATAGTGCGCAGCTCCTCTGCTGTCAGCTTTGCTTTCTTCTCTGGTTCTACCTTCTCGGATGTGCTAGGAAGAAATACCTCTATTTGCTGGCTAGTCTGCTGTGGTTGTTCTGCTTCAACCTGGGAAAAAGATAGGTCATGTAGGTTAATATTTAGCTGAAAAGTTAATTTGCCACATTTTTGTGTTTCCATATTTTCATACTTTCATTTGACACAAGTGTGTAATTTTGTTAGGATCGATGCAAATCTGTACATACATCTGTAAATACGGTACATCCAACATCTTTGATGAGCACCAAAAAATTAGCAAAGGATAAGAGACAGGAGACAATACTACATGCTAAAAAGTGTTTTTGTTGTCTCTGATACTCCAAAAGCATTCCTCAAATCTGAGGCCTGCACTGTCCTCTGAATTTTACTTCATGAATGTACTATTCTCCAGATGAGACTATTCCCAGCTCATTTTATGTTTCTTAGCTTGTGCTTTGGTACAGCCGTCCTTTCATTCTCTCGTGTGTAGCCCATCAGGATACTTACCGTCAGCCCCAGTCCAGTGATATTCACTTTTCAGAGCTGCACAGTCTTTCATCCAAAACACAACTGCAGGGACCTCTTCTTGACGAACACGTATCCCCAGGCCCCTTTCTTTCCTATTGTTAAGCCATACCCACCAGCTTGTTAAAGGATAAGTTCACCTTTTGGAACGTTACTTTTTTTACCTTATTTTTATGCATTCTATACATTAAGGAAAACCTTCTGCATGCAGTTCCCAGCCCCCTCTAAATACTTACCTGAGCCAGATCTCGATCCAGCAATGTGCACAAGAGCACATTGTCCCCTCACTGGACAGAGAGGCAGCAGTGGGAGCCATTGTCTCCTGCCAATCACAGCCACTGAGGAGACAGAAGAGGTGGGGCGGAGCCATGCTGTGTGTGTCAATGGACACACAGAGCTGGCTTAGAAGTAAACATGCAAGGGTGCCCCCATAGCAATTGGCTTGCTATGGGGGCACTCAGCAGGGGGGAGGAGCCCAGATCGACAGCGAGCGACCCGAGAAGAAGAGGATTGGGGCTTCTCTATGCAAAATCATTTTAAAGAAAAAAAAAACATTTTAGGTATAGAATCACTTTAAGAAGATTCTGTTTTCTTGTGAGAGTTAAGAAGCTGTGAACTGTTCACCAATGAGAATTCCTTATGTGTGAATGAAGGAGTTCAGCTCCACCCTGAAGATTCCTTAAGCTGATCACAACTGTAAAATATCAGTCGAAGGGTATAATACAGTAACAAAGGGCATTTTAAAGCTTGAGTAGTAGTAGTAGAAGAACCTTTGTAATATTACTAGGAATATACTGTACAAAATGAACTTTGCTGCAAAACAAGGGAAGAACTTGTATGTCACTTCTTGAAAGACTGCAAGCTGAACTCCAGCCAAATAATTAAATATAATACAACAATTGAGGGCTGTGTTTAGCTACCTTAGGACCTCTGTTCCTGTCCATTCAGTCCAGAACTGTACATCATCCTGCCAGACTGCAAAGCCAGGTTGGTGGCCCAACTATTCTCTACCACAGTTAACCAACAGAGTTAGGTCACCTCCATGCTCCTCTGCTTTCCAATCTGGTCAGAATGTTCTTTGACATAACATGCACATGCAACATGCTAGATTAACTCTAGTGCCGAAACTCCCTCTCTTAGTATAAGTGATGGTTTATAGGATATTGCAAGAGGATGGGTCAAACTCAAATTCGAGGACCTACACAAGCTGCATTTAAAAAAAGATTTAGAAAACACACACACACACACACACACACACACACAGTGAAGGAAATAAGTATTTGATCCTCCTGAGACGGAATAGCAACAAAAAATTCAAAAGAAATGCATGTCTAACAAATTATGCACTGATTTGCATGTTCATGAGGGAAATAAGTATTTGATCCCCTATCATTCAGCAGGATTTCTGGCTACCAGGTGTCTTTCATACAGGTAACAAGCTGAGATTAGAAGCAGTCTCTTAAAAGGAGTGCTGCTAATCTCATTTTGTTACCTGTATAAAAGACACCTGTCCACAGGAGCAATTGAACAATCAGATTCCAAACTCTCCACCATGGCAAAGACCAAAGAGCTGTCCAAGGATGTCAGGGCCAGGATTGTAGACCTACACAAGACTGGACTGGGCTACCAAACTATCACCAAGCAGCTTGATGAGAAGGTGACAACAGTTGGTGCAATCATTCGCAAATGGAAGAAACACAACACAACTGTCAGTCGTCGCCCTAGGTCTGGTGCACCATGCAAGATCTCACCTCGTGGAGTGTCAATGATCATGAGAACAGTGAGGAATCATCCCAGAACTACACGTGAGGATATTGTCAATTATCTCCAGGCAGTTGAGACCACAGTCACCAAGAAAACAATTGGTAACATGCTAAACCGACAAGGATTGAAATCCTGCAGTGCCCGCAACGTCCCTCTGCTCAAGAAAGCACATGTCCAGGCCCGTCTGAAGTTTGCCACTGAACATCTGAATGATGCAGAGGAGGACTGGTTGAAAGTGTTGTGTTCAGATGAGACCAAAATCAAGCTCTTTGGCATCAACTCAACTCGCCGTGTATGAAGGAGGAGGAATGCTGCCTATGACCCCAAGAACATCATCCCAACTGTCAAACATGGTGGTGGAAACATTCTGCTTTAGGGTGTTTTTCTGCTAAAGGGACAGGACAACTGCACAACATCAAAGGGACAATGGACGGGGCAATGTACCATTAAATCTTGGGTAAGAACCGTCTTCCCTCAGTCAGTGCATTGAAAATGGGTCGTGGATGGGTGTTCCAGTATGACAATGACCCAAAACACACGGCCAAGGCAACAAAGGAGTGGCTCAAGAAGAAGCACATTAAGGTCCTGGAGTGGCTTAGCCAGTCTCCAGACCTTAATCCGATTGAAAATATGTGGAGGGAGCTGAAAGTTCGAGTTTCCAAACGTCAGCCACCAAACCTTATTGACTTGGCGTGGATCTGCCAAGAGGAGTGGGCCAAAATCCCTCCTGAGATGTGTGCAAACCTGGTGGCCAACTACAGGAAACATCTGACCTCTGTGACTGCCAACAAGGGATTTGCCACCAAGTACTAAGTCATGTTTTGTGAAGAGGATCAAATACTTATTTCCCTCATGAACATGTAAGTCAGTGCATCATTTGTTAGACATGCATTTCTTTTGAATGTTTTGTTGCTATTCTGTCTCTCAGTGTTACAATACACCTAACATTTGATTTTTAAACTGATAATATCTTTGTGAGTGGGCAAACATTCAAAATCATCAGGGGATCAAATACTTATATTCCTATATATATATATATATATATATATATATATATGTTAAAAAATACATCTAGGTACATTGTCTGTGTGTTTTTTTACCAAATATCTGGAGCAGGGGCGGACTGACCATTTGGAAACTCGGGCACTGCCCGAGGGCCCGGGGTCAGAAGGGGGCCCCATGAGATGCCCCTGGTACCTTTTTCATAGGCTTTTTTGAGTTTGGGCAAGGACACAGGGGCCCCATGATCCCCTATTGCCCGGGGGCCCCATGAGTTGTCAGTCCGCCCCTGATCTGGAGTTAAACTTTAAACAGAGCAGGCAATTAGAGATAAGATGAATTACATTCTGCTATCATTTCCTGGACAAGTAGCAGACTGCTAACATTTTGTAAAACATTTTTTCATTACCTTAATTCATTAGGATAAATGTATATCACATCACTAGTAATAATTAGTAATGCTCAGTTTCTCGGGTGGTCAGGGACTGCTTTCCATGTGTTGCTGTTCTTCACTACATATGCTACACAATTTCATGTGTCAGAAAACAATCTTACTTATGTGAATGCTGCCCACAGGATATGAAACCAGAGCAGACAATAGAGGATTTGGATGGATGAGTTGCCAATGAACCACACAAACACATGGACATTTGGCTGCTTCCTCATGCCAAGAGCTATTATAGGATACAAGGACTGCAGAACAATGCAAATGACATTCCTGCAAAACCTTAAAATAGTTATGAAAGGGGTAATTGTAACTAATTAATATCACTGCAAATTTTAATGCAAACAATGTTTTTAGATAATTAATCAATATTAACTATTACCTAGCCAAAATAATTTGATCACATATTTTTTTAGGATATGAAAGTTTATTTGGGGACTTTTTCCCTGGCCTGCAAAACTTATATGTTTGTGCATGATAAGGGGGTACCAAAGACCCTTCTGTACAGAGCCCAGGCTTCATCAGTTCAACAGTGGAACTTGGGCAAATGACAGGTAGGGGGAAGGGGATCCTGGACAGGAGGGGGTGATCAGTGCAGGAGCGGGATGGCATTTACTTGAAGAAGTTCCCTCCTGCAGCAGCTGAAAGCTGGAGGGAGAAGGCGGCTCTCAGCTGGTGCAGGGGAGGGGGGACTACAGGGGATCAGTTCCAGTAAATTTGTTTACCATGCTTCAGTTTGAGAATGAACAGGAAGCCTGAGGATGCAGAGAAGTGGAATGGGAATCTAGGTCCTCAATTCCTTTCTGTCTCAAAAATGAAACATCAGGGGTCTGTTTAAACCGCTGATGTTTCACCAAAGCCCCTCCTCCCAGCAGTGTTCTGAAAAAAAAAATAATATATATATTATATACATATATACACATACACACACACACATACATACACATATAAAAAAAATAATTACAAAAATAATTTAAAAAAGCACATTTAAACAGGTTCTCTGGCCCAAACAGTATGAATGAGTGGTTTGTTTGTGTGGTTGGAGCCTCCCATTTTCTTATGGGGACATGTCAGCTGTTATGAACACAGCTGCAGGTCCTAGTCTGACATGTGTGCAGTTGTGTGGCCCCGAATGCACACAGTCTATGCTCGGAGCCATACACCTGCACCCACATGCTTGTCAAATTAGGACCTGCGGCTGTGTACCCATAGGACTCAATGCATCCCCATATTGTACCATAAGCTGCCTGCACATAGGTCGTCACAACAAAAAAAAACAAAATAAAAAACGGTGATTCACACTGTACAGGCCATAGCACACATGTTAATGAGCCCCAAGACCTTACTCACACACAGCTTTATGTATTAATGCAGTACAGTCTTATTTTTTAGAACTAGCAGGAATTTTGTATGCTATGTTGTTTTTATGTATTTTTACATATATATTTTTACCAAAAATATTTTCCAGAGCCAGCGGGCACGGGTGGGGTCAGAATATGGAATCTACCTTTGGCATTGGCCCAATGATGACATCACAGCGCCATGTAAAATGTGCAAAAGCACCACAGTTTCATACTGCAAAAGTGATGGTGTTGCGGAGTCCTGTCTACTTGGAAGAAGAAGAGTATTTTGGATATCTGCTTCCAGATAAACCATTTTCTCATCAGTGGAAGAGATCAGGCTTTCAGGTACAGATAGGTCAGTCTGCAGGCACTTTGACAGTTGAGCAAAAGCCTAAGACAAATTTGCCATCCATCTCTGCATCAAAGCCTTAAAAAGTATGTATACATACCTAAGCCGGACAATAAAACATGTTTTGTGCCAAGTAAGAAAAAACAACAGAAAAGGGGGGCCACTTCCATTTAAAGAAAAAAGTCAAATATACTACAGAACAAATCACTTTTCTGAACAAAGATGCAGGACGATAAAGAAGCAAAGATGCAGAGAAGATCTGCCCAGATAAGAACTTACAGACCACAATATCTAAACAACATGTTGTAACAATGGCTTAACCAGGACACTTACAAGACTGTTACTCCGAGACAGATGCACAGAGGAGGATCTACGAGTGCTTGCAAATCTTGGAGGATGAGGCACAGAGTTGCAAGGTTCTTGCACACCAAGGAAAAGTGTAAGCTCTTCCACCTGCCGTACTAGCCTATCTTGCTCTATATGGAGTCGAAGATTCTCTTCTTTCAAGTCATTGACCGTAGTTGTCAGAGGTTCCAACAGCATGGCCATATCTCGCATCTGCTGTGTGATCTGCTTCTGAAAAATCCGGAGCTCATGCTCAGCACTGTACACTGGTTCTGAGAGCTGGTTATCCAGCTCCTGAGTACCTGCACTAGGCATGGTTAGACAAGCTCTGTCTGGGAAGCAAGCTCAGGACAGTAACCAGTATACCAGACACCAGGCAGGATGTGGGGTGGGTGTGCCTTCCAGAAGAGTAACTGTCACAAATCAGAATGGATCTGTCCAAGGACACAGCTTGGGCCCAGCTCCGATTCCCATTCTAATCCAGATATGGGGGAATGTTTACAGACCGGAGCTATAAATATATTTACATAACATCCCTGTGCAGACACAAAGGGAAGAAAGATACGGACGCAGCAGGTGGCAGGAAGCTGCCTATTCCTAGAGATGAAGCAGCAAGTTAACCTTTCTGCTGCCAACAACAGAACAATACTTTGCAGGAAACCCTGGCTTCTGCAGATGGTCATCTGAAAAACTGTTGTTCTTTAGTTCAGTTCAACTCGAAAGTATTTAAGACTTTCCAAGCAGTACGGTTTTAGTATTGATCCTATGTTGAGCCAAATCTAATGCGGATTGTGGAATTACTGTTGCTACATACTCTAAGGGCTAGTTCACACTAGATGCAGTTCAGTGAGCTTTTTTTCTGCATCAAAAATGCATGCGCAGTGTTTTCCATGTATTCCAATGGCACTAGTTCACATCAGTGCAGTCAGTTCCAGTCAGTTTCCGGTGCAGAAAAAAAAAAAAAAAAAAAAATAACATGCTGCATTTTTTCTGCACATAACTACGGATGCACTGAAATTTCAGTGGCCAAAATGTTTCGGCCGAAAACACCCCATTTGGCCATCGGCCGATATGAAAAAAAGCACCGAAAAGCACCCTTCACCGTTGCCCACCCGCCGTCACCGCCACCCCTCGGTAGTTCTCAGCCATACCTGAGAAACCACTGAACGATCCCGGCACTGGGCATAGAAATTAGTGATGGAAAGATGGCTTCCACTCATCTCTATGCCCTTGGAGGACCGGAGCGTTGTCATTTCCAGTTCCAGAAATTTTTTTGTTTTGTTTTAAAAGCACTAGATCAGGTACTTGTCTGTTAATTCACCAGATTTATTTATTTTAATATAAATGGGTGTATATATATATATATATATATATATATATATATATATATATATATATATATATATACACCCACTTTACTGACATCCTAGCTAAGTAATTAGTTTTAAATAAAACTTTTAAACTATGTTAACTATATTGAATAAATAAATCCGGTGAATTAACAGACAAGTACCCTAGATCAATGCTTTTTTTGATCCAATGCTTTACATTGCAGAGGAGAGATATGGGGTCTTATTGACCCCATATCTCTCCATAAAGAGGACCTGTCGCTAATTATTTCTATCACAAGGGATGCATGCATTTCTTGTGATAAGAATAAAAGTGATTACAATTTTTTTTTAAAAGGTACAGTGCAAAAAAAAACCCCACCAAAAATAACATTAAAATTAAAAAATAAAAGATTAAAGTGCCCCTGTCCCCCCGTGCTCGCACGTAGTGGTGAATGCATATGTAGGCCATACCCACATATGTAAATGGTGTTCAAACCACACATGTGAGGTATCGCCATGAACGTCGGAGCAAGAGCAATAATTCTCACACTAGACCTCCTCTAACTTTACACTGCTAACCTGTAGAAAATTTTAAAGCATCACCTATTATTTTTTAAGTACTGCAGTTTCACGCCATTCCACGAGTGCGCACAATTTTAAAGCGTGACATGTTGGGTATCTATTTACTCGCTGTAACATTCTCTTTCATAGTTTACAAAAAAGTGAGGTATATATTGTTTTTTTTTTTTTTGTTTATTTTAATCAAAGTGTATTTTTTTCCAAAAAAAAAATATATTCATTTTTAAAAACTGCGCATTTCGGTTTTCGGCCAAGTGCATTTTGAATTTTCATTTTCGGCACCAGAATTTTCATTTCAGTGCACCACTACACAGAACCATACTGGAACATAGCAAACTGCATCAAAACTGCACCGGAACGGTGTGTGGTGTGAACTGTACGCAAAAACGTTTCCGGAGTGCATTTTTGTAGTGTGAACTGGCCCTAAAGCTGTCCATAGATGGATTGAAATTTCAGCTAGATCAGCAGGGACAAACCAAAGTCTGATTTCATCTATGACTGTTCCTGGTCAATAGAAGGTGATCTAACGATTGCCTTCTGACTAACAGGACTGTTGGAAAATTTTCATTTGATCAGCGGCTGCAGTGCTGACCTGAGTATTCTGACAGTGGAGGAGTCTTCGCTGTCAAAATACAATAGCACAGTGGGGAGGATTCCTCCATCTACCTCGCTTGTGTGGATGGGGAAATCTGTGTTTTTTTCCTCTCAATCAGCCAGCAGGCTAATCTGGGAAAAAAAAAAACAAACACGATCAATCTATGGCCAGCCTAAGTGTGCAATCAATTCTGACAGGCACCATAGAACTCACAGCTCTGCACTAGCACATATAAAAGGGGCTTATGAGAATTCCTCATGCTGCTTTGTTTTCTAGGTCTTCCTATGGTTTCTCAGTTAACATCCTGGGTGAACCTGAACATACGTCTGCTTGTAACAGTGTATTCTGTTTTATTCCAGGTAATACCTGTAGGAAAATCTTTTGAAACCCAGACTGCCACTAATATTTTATAAGCGGTTACAGTAAACAGTTTTCTTTTGGGATAAAGGTTTCATAAAAATAAAAGCTGATCGTTGTAAGCACCACTGTCAGTATTAAATTATTTATCTCATCCCTGTAACTGCAAGAAAGCTTGTTCTTTTGAAAAACAACAGACTTACTGGCTAGCACACTAAATGAAAATATAAAAAAAAAGAAGAAAAAAAAAAGGAAACAAATACAGCCATCACATTAAAGAATTAATAAGCTGCACTAAATAAAAATGTTTGCTTTAACACTGCTTTAACTGACCTAAGATTCAAACATTCAAAGTCACCTTTGAGTTTGGATGTTTGAAGCTACTTTTGCAGGCGGTTGTATTTGTCAAAGAAGCTGGAAAAAAGAATGTATGTTAAGCCAATAAAATGGCCTTTATAAAATATATGCTCCATTCAAGTCATTTACCGTGTTTTGTTTCCCCGAAAATAAGACACTGTCTTATATTTTTTTTGACTCAAAAAAACACACTAGGTCTTATTTTCCGGGTAGGTCTTATTTTTTTAATGTACTGGTGTGGACAGGAGGTGCAGAGGTGAGCTGCAGGCAGTTGTGGATGAGGGTTACTATAGAGAGGGCCGGCTGATGACAGTTGTGAGCTGCAGTCAGGTGTTGCAGAGGTGAATTGACAGGTGAGTTTCAAACAGAGTGCAGATATGAGCCACAGACGGGTGCAGGGGTGAGTTGCAGACAGGGGATGCAGAAGTGAGCTTCGGGTCCTATCTTCCCACACAGTGCACCAAGGGCACTCACCACTCCGCCTCTTCCTCACTGGCCGGTGATCACCCCTGGGGCATTGGCTTCCATGCATTAGGCTGCAGGAGGAGATGCCCCACCCCTAAACACACTGCGCCCGCAGATATCTGTTCCTTCCCTGTCCCACACCGAGTACAGAGGTAGGGAGGGTTTGTTCTGTGGGAGCGGATGGTGATGTTACTTACAAGAGGGATTGTCACTTGGAAACACAAAAGCCTTGCTTCTATGTTTATAGGAGACAATAGATATTGGTGTACACAGGGCCAGTGCCAGAGGTGGTGGAACAGCTGACCACAACTAGGTCTTATTTTCAGGGTAGGTCTTATACTGCAGCAATTCCTCAAAACAGTACTAGGTCTTATTTTTGGGGTAGGTCTTATTTTCAGGGAAACGGTAGTAGATTCCACTCTTGCAGCAATTACATTCTGTATGGATAAGCCTCTATCATTGTAAATCTGGACACTGCAGTTTCTCATTCCTCTGTATAACTGCTCCAGCTCTGAATTGTTGCATCAGAATCAGAAAAGTTTTTTCAAGCCTAGCTATAAATTCTCTAAAGGATTGAGACTTTGGCCAGACTTGGCCAAACCAGGCCATTGCCACTGTTTCAAGTCATTGTTATGTAGTTTGGTATTTCTCCTGGTGTTACCATCTTGCTGGAAGACAAGTCTTCACCCTAGGTTTAAGATTCTTGCAGAATACATCAGGATTTCAAAGTCTTCCCTGTCCATTGTTCTGTCATAATGCTGCAACTATTGAAGCTTGTAGGCAACAGTTACAGGCTCTACAATCTGAACCACTGTAGTTTGTACCTCTTTCAGAGTGGTCATAGGTTTCTTGGTCGTCTCCCTTGCTGGTCTACTTCTTGGAGATAGGTGAAGGGATGGCCACTTATTTTTAGTGGAAGGACTATTCTTTAGATTTAGAGATGTGCCATATGCTTTCCTAACATGGAAAGGTTTCTTCATAGTGAGAGCTGTGAAAATGTGGAATAGACTCCCTCAAGAGTTGGTTCTGGCCAGCTCAGTGGATTGCTTTATAAAGTCCTGGATTCTTTCTTAGATACACAGAATATAACTGGATACTAACATTTATAGGTAAAGTTGATCCAGGGAATATCCAATTGCCTGTCGATGGATCAGAAAGGAATTTTTTTCCCCTGCAGGAACAAATTGGATTGTGCTTTGCTGTGTTTGAAGACCAGGAACGGCGCGGGAAGCACGGCGAGAGGAACGCGCGGAGCAAAGGTAAGTGAATTGACACAGGGGGGACTTACTATATGGGGGATGAATTTGGGGGATGAATTACTATATGGGGGACTTACCTCTGGATCAACTGTGGGTATAGGATTATACCTTTTTTTTTTTTTTTTTTTTAGTGGTTGAACTAGATGGACTTTTGTCAGCCAGACTATGTACCTGTAGCAATTGTGCACACAGAGAAGGACACGGTCATCCATTTTGCTAAGGATCCTCCATCTTATATCTCTCTGCCTCCTCCAATCCCTCCTCCAATGCCCCCCTCCTTATCTATTGAGTGACACGTGGTCCCTGTGCTCTAGGTTTCAGAAGTGCACAGGCAATCAGGCACAGCAGGACAGCATCCTGGTTATAAATCCCAAACTAGCTGATGCCTGGGTGTCTGTTAGCTTCTCAATCTGAGATATCGTAAAGCCATAAACCAGTCCTTCAGTGAGCTTCAAAGACATTCCAGCTAGCTGTAAAACAGACTTACATTTAAAACCCCACTTTTACATATATTTTATATCTGGAGCTGGGAAATAGTTACATAAAAACCAAGCATATATTCGGTTAGCTCAGTTTAATGCAAGCCGTCTGATATCTTACACCCCCTAGTTGAAATCTACAGGAGAGCAGAAAACAATATCTCCTTAACCGACCCAAGCAGGTATGTCATATTTAATATCTAGACATTCAGCAGATGATTGTGCATATTAATCTACTAGTGGCTAGGCTGCTACATGCACCGAGGGTAAGTTATTGATCATGATATAAACTGCGAGGGATTTTGGTTCTAGCTTGGGTCTCTGCCTCCAACACCCTCCCCAAATGAGGTGATTGGTTCTCTGCTTCAAGGAGACACCCTACTGAGTTCCTAGAAAAAGGCTGTTATGCTTGGAGCAGAGAGTTGAGTAGAGTTAAGTTGAAGTTGAAGCATTCTCCCTTTTGACATTGGAACCAACTTTGGGAGAACGGTACCCTTTTGCTCTGACACTTGAACGCTGCTTAAACCAAGGCTGAGGGCAAGTACTTTACCTCTCTAAACTTCTTTCTGTTATCTCTTTGTTATTGGTCTCTGTATTTGTATAGATATATATTGGCTACATCTTTTTCTGTAAATATTTTTTTTGCACCCTTTTGACCTTTTAGTAATAAATCTTACTTTCTGAAAGTGTTGAACTGTTTCTAAAGCTCTTTAATGCAAACTAAGAATTCCTGTCTCTGAAGAGCGCTACTGTATGTTTTTAAATTTCTGCATACATCTGCGGTGACATTGTTATTGCTAATATTGGCGAGTTTCCTCCTACTCTGTACAAAAAGGCGGTGGTGGCAGTGTGAAGGGTTAATTGCGTAATTAACCTGACCCAGTAACAATCGCTCTCAGACTGCAGGTACACAGATTGTGGTCTATTAGCTGGAAAATCTTTGTGTAGGGTGCATCTGAGCGTGGTATTGTTACGCACGTGACAGCGCGGTTTTAGATTGGCTAGTCCTTCTGTCACGAGTTGGTGAGAAGGGCTGGGGGTCTGACGCCGCGATTGTCACAGTAACAATTTCTTATTGATTTATTTATATGTACTCCTGATGTGAGCTTTTCCGTCACCTTTTTATGGAGTTGCCTGAGGCAATTATTTGTCTTCATTATGCCAAGATGTATTTATACTACAATTATTAAAAGAGGAACTTCACTTCCATTTTACAAAATTAAAAGTCAGCAACTACCAATACTGTAGCTCTTGATTTAAAAAATACCTGCTTACCAACCCAATAGGTCCAGCATTGCCTTATTACCGCCTGAAGGTTTCGCTTGTTAGGTTCTTGCGCCGAATTCCTGGATTTGGGAGCCAGCTGTCACTAACTGATGATTTACAGCCGGCTCCCAAATGTACATGTGTGAAAATCAACTGGGGATGACTGACCTTACAGCCTCCTAGGCTGTGCAATTTTATCTGAGGAAGCTGTGGGTGGGTGGAAAGGAACTGAACACCCAGAAGAGGAATAAGGAAGTGTTTTTTTCATTGTATCTTTTGAATGGGTTGTTCTTTCTCATCTTGTTATTTTTGGCTGGAGTCCTGCTTTAAACCTGCCCAGATACTGTTTCCCCGAAAATAAGACACTGTCTTATATTTTTTTTGGATCAAAAAAGACACACTAGGTCTTATTTTCGGGGTAGGTCTTCTTTTTTAAATGTACAGGTGTGGACAGGGGGTGCAGAGATGAGCTGCAGGCAGTTGTGAATGAGGGTTACTATGGAGAGGGCCGGCTGAAGACAGTTGTGAGCTGCAGTCAGGTGTTGCAGAGGTGACGTGACAGGTGAGTTTCAGACAGGGTGCAGGGGTGAGTTGTGGAGGGGGGATGCATAGATGAGTTGTGGCTGGGGGGTGCAGAGCTGAGCTGTGGCCGG